TTGGCCTCTTTAGCCACCAGCATGCTTGTAACAAATGTGGATAGAGCCTTTCCCGAACCTTTGTTCGCGAAGCCTAGCCATGAACAGAACACATGATGGTTAATGTATTAAAAATACAACTCTAAGAGACATGGGGTGTTGCTAGCCTTCCTTGCTTGAATAAAGGAAATAAGGCCAGAATTGTTTTCAAAACAGAACAGAGCTCCTAAAAGTATCACAGTATGTTAGAGACTAAGAAGTATGTTAAAAACAGGTGCAAGATAATGTACCAGTGTTTCCATGTCTTTGTACAGAGTGCACCATTTTGTCTGTGAAAAATAATGGGAAAGAATGGGGTGAGAAATACTTGTCTCTGCATCCCTCCCCCCCCCGTTCCCAGGCAGGAGATCTCCAGGCACTGGGGACACCCGTGCCCAGGAGTCACCAGCCAGCCCAGGCATCTGCCCTCCCTTGGGCTTGTCCCCCGCCACTGAGAATCATAGAATGATAGAATTAATTATTAAGGGGTTGGAATGGATGCTAAAGATCATCTAGTCCCAATCCCCATAGGATGGGCAGGGACATCTCCCACTAGACCAGACTGCTCAAGGCTTTATCCAACCTGGTCTTGAACAGCACCAGGGTTGGGGCATCCACAACTTCCCTGGGCAACCTGTTCCAGTGTCTCACCACCCTCACAGTAAAGAGTTTCTTCCTAACGTCTAACCTAAATTTCCCGTCTTTCAGTGTGTACCCATAAAGAAGATGGTGTCACAACCAAAGCTGCCACAAAATGTTTCTCTCACAAACGTGTGGCTGAGGAAAAGCGGCGTCTCTGCCCAAAACACGTGAACGGTTCCTCCCAGGGGCTCAGGGTATCAGGTCTGCCCTCCCTCCGTGCCAGCAGCCCTCGTCGCTCCTGCTTCTGCCCAGCCCTCTCTCCATGTCTCCCAGTCCCTGTCCCCGTCCCCTTCCCCGTTCGCCCCTCCCACCGCCTCTTTCCGGCCTCGCCTTCGCGTTTCCTGCCGGGGCGGAAGAGGTTTGTCCCTGCGGCGCCGCCGTCGCGCAGCGGCTCTGCTCAGCGTCATGGCGCCGTCTCTCTCAATGTCATCGGCCCTGAGGCGCCTCCTCGCCTGGAGCGGTGCGGCCGCGGCCCGCCCGCCGCCGCCCAGGTAACGGCAACGCGGCCGCCCCGCCGCCCACATGGCAGGCACTGCGGCGCCCCAGTACCCGCGGGGGCCGGAGGAGCCCGTCCCCGGCCTGGGGCTGCGCCGCGGCCGTGCCGGGCCGGGGAGGCTGCGCAGGGCCGGGCCGCGGGCGGGGGGCGGCCGGGCGGGCGAGGGGCAGAGTCTTCCTACGTGTCTGTCCGTGTCTGGCTTTGCGTGTCTGGGTCTGGCCGTTAGTGTCCTTGCCGCTTGGCTAGCGGTGACCGCCCGCCCAGTGTCCTTGCGGCGCCCGGAGGTCGAAAGCTGGTGACAGGGCCTCATTGCCGAGGAGCCTCCCCTCGACAGCAGCCCTTCTCCAAGATTTGCACCTCACTGTCCTGTTCTCTACCCTGTAGCCTTTCCTCTTTACCCCCTCCTCCAAATACGTTACCTCTTTATAGGGGTGCATAGCTGTTTCTTCACTCATCTCCTAAAAATAATGCTGGAAATAGTTGTATAGTTTTTGGTGGCTCATTGTTGTTTGTTTCTTTAATGCAGAGGTGTGTGTTAAAAGGCCAGTACATGACCTATCGTGCAGTCGAAGATGCATGCATATGTTTCCTGCTGTGCATCTCAAAGGACTTAGACTTCTGTAAGACTCCCTTCTGGCAGTGAGAAATAAAGTAGTTCAATGCCATTAACTGTGATTTAGAGGTTTTGCTTTTCAGTGCTACTCGGATCTCTACATATAAACACAAGTTAGTTTCAGTGATTTTATTTAAATCTGTGGGGGTCTTTATACATGTATGTATGTGTGTGTATATATAAACACAGAGAAAGCTATATATGCACACATAGAGAAAAAAGAAGTATAACCATATTATTTTTTGACATTTTTGTGCTCTCATTGTCCCATTAATTCCTTCTAGCTTCTCCTTTTTAAAATGGCACCTGTTTTATGGCATTGAAAGTTAGGTCTCAGTCTCCTAAATATACTCTCGAATCTGTGAGTATGAATTTTGTAATTCCTCTATGCTAATGCAGAAACTTGCTGTTGGTGTTCGACTGCTTGTTTCTGCCCATCTCTGTGGTTTTGACAGAACTGCTGCCTGTGCCATGTGGTAAATTGGGTCAGTCAAGTGATTCAGGTTAAAAATAATTCTGTTTGTTTGTTTTAAAGTTTTACCGCTCTGTGTTGAAGTAGTTATTTCAGAAAAGATAGTAGGTTGTAGCAGGGGTGGGTATGAACAGCATGGAAACGTGAGGTAGGAACTCCTAAGTAGGGATTTCTTTTTTGAAACAGTGCCTTAGGTTCCTTCCTTGCCACAGAGGGAGTAGAAGAATTAGTGTCCCTTAGTGCTTTTAGGAAGAGGGATGTTGAAAATACTCCAGGCCTGAGAGGGACTGGAACTTATGCTTCACATTCCATAGGAGAGTGACCTTATCATGAATCAGGGGGTTTCTTGGAGAAGTGGGAGAGAAGAACATTATGAGTTTGTCTTACTTCAAGTTTTACACAGCTTTGCAGTCATTGCTTATTGGAAGAGGGAGAATAAAGTTTTTTGTGGATTGAGGAAAAACTATTTCAAAGTTTTGGCACTATGAAGGAATGGTGGCTGCTGTCAGTCATTGCATAATTTTTGTAAAGTAATTATTTTCTTGATTAAGTAGGCGTGAAACTTAACATCTTTCCTCTTGTCCATTACTGTTTTGTATGAAAAGAATTCTCAACCAGCCTCTGTAGTCTCCCTCCTTGGGAGTGAGAATCAGCGTACATAATCACAGAAAAGGATTTAGTGCTCTACGTTATAAATTCAAGATGTCTTCCTTTACTCACAGTGAGGTAATAAAATTAGATGGAAGTGCATGGGAGAAAGCGCATATCTTGCTTTTGTGCTTTGTCTTACTTCTTGTAAGCCAACGTTGGGTTTGTTTTCCTTTGTTAGATACCATAACCTTTCTTAGGGAGCATGTAATCGCTTGTATTTTACCAGAAATCTAGATAAATTTCAGTGTACAAATAGATGCCTCAAAGTTTGGCAGTTTATAAGTCCCATTTACAGCTTTAGTGTCTCACATCTCCCAACCTCACACAGTTGAATCTTACTCTACAAACTACTTATTTTCCAGTTATAATGATCAGCAAGTGTCCAGAAGCTAGTGGTTTGCAGCATATCTTGCAACTGGATATATGGATCCTGAAATACAGGTTTCCTTTCAGAAAAGTGTTTTGACAGATACACTTTGGTACAAGTAGCTTCTTTGTTTCAGAGTATATTTAAAGTATTTGTCTGTCTAATTTATTATTGGAGTAATCTATGTATTTGTCAAATATTGTAGAAAGAATGTACTATACCAGTATGCTAGATGTAGGTCTTAAAGAAAATAAAGTAAATGAAGGCATTAGAATTACTAACAGTAAAAATGGTTGCTGTTCTTAGGACATGACTGAAGAAGATGCTGGAATTGTCAACTGTGAGGGCATTTGAATGATTCTTACATCGCTTCAACAGTTTGCTTTTGTTTACTTAGATTCAGAGTAAGGTTTGGTTGGTAAAACTTTGTTAAGTTACAGTTGCATGTTGTTTGCCTAAATTAAGTTATGAGGGGAATATAGCTTATTGTTTGAACATTGTAGGATTAAATTTTAAACCTTCAAGATATAGTTTTATTTGCAGTGGGTTTTTTTTTTTCTGATTTTTGCATGTGAAACTTCTCATACTTCTCCAGTTTTCAGAACTTCAATTAAATAATAATATATCTTACCTCTGATTTTGAAAAGAATTCCCAAGATCACTTTTCAAGAGTTACAAGAGGAATTCCGTTCTGATTTTCATGAGCAATATTTGGTTCTTAGAAATTTTATGACATCTTCTAATACTGATTTTTCAGTACGTGTTTAAGCACTTTAACATATGCATGCCCAAGCTGCCTGCTGATTATAAACTGGTGACTGGTAACACAACATGGGAATAAGTGTTCGGTCCAAAGTTAAGAGAACGTGCAGCAACATTCCTTGTATTTTTATGAAGTTCTGAGTGCCTGTTTTAAATCAGTTGTGCAGTGGTTACTGAGCCCCTCATTTTATCTGGTGGTGAGCCAAGTAGACATCAGCAGCTGGCTTGAGCTCATTCAGAAAGCAGAAGTGCATCCCTAGCTTAAGTCACATTTTTAAACTTTCATGTTCTAAGATCTGTCAAGGTTTCAGGAGCTTGCAATTATGTTGAACACGCTCTCTGGAGTTTAACCTAAAAACTGCAGTGTTTTCTTGTATTAGAAAATACAGACAGGTGAAGCTGGGAAAAGAAACTTCAAACAAATTTCTGCTGTCCTGAGAATCAGATGTTTCTTTCAAAACCACCAGTAGGTCAGAGAAGCCCTTTATATCACAATATAAAGCCCTTTATATCTGCAATCAGAATATGGAGATATTAGTTTCTGTTCCAGAAGCAGAATATTTTGTGTGTGCAGGTGTAATACCTGACAACATGCTCTCTACGTTTCATGATAATGGATTTTTCATGTCATTTTTCAGATGGTTCTCTAAAATGTGTTACCTTCCTCTTGTAATTCTGTTTAAAGACTCTGAGTATAATAGCAAATGTTTTGCTAGTTTATCATAAATAGATACCTGAGGTTATGAAAGCAAGTAATTATGGACACTTATGTATACAAAGCCTGTTATTCAATTCATACTCAAGAAACTGAGGAAACCTGGAATGCCATATAAGTCTCAGTTTTCAGTTAATGTCTATTTAAGCAAACTACCCCTGCAGTAAAAAAAGAGGAAGATATTTTTGTGGCAAAATAAAGGACTTATAAGACATAGCAAAAAAATGTAATTTTTTATCTTGTCCTTTCCTGAAAAGTATAGACAATGTTTATTAACATTTTAAAAAAACTTACTTCAAGATAATTAGCTTACTCTTTCGTGTTATTGTTTGGTTTGTTTTTTTTTTCCTTTCCTCAAATAATGTTGAGGTTTTTGTTGCATATCCTTACCAAGTCATGCATTAAAACAGAGCTTAGTAGACTTCCAGAGCTAGATCTGCATAGTACAGAGAGCTGTATGAAGATGAACAAACCTCTCACTGAACCTGGTTAATAGAAGCACAATTTGGCCAGTGTTGGTGCTAGCCAGTGTGAGATGTTTGTCAAGTTTGGAATAAGTAGCATGTTGCAGCAGTTGTATTACTTATTACTTCATCCACCTGTAATGCGTGTCTCTTACTTACATTATTCCACACAGTATATGAGAGTGTGTGTGGTGATGTTAGGTTCAGAAGTTTCACATCAGAAGTTTCAGTTTTCATTAATAAAAACCATAGTTCTGTAGAATTGAATGTTGTTAAAATTATTTCCAGTGAGACGTATCATCTGCATAGAGTGCTTGGAATAAAATTTGAAGATAACACCAGGTGAAGAAGTTTTTTGCAGTCTTGCTTTTGCTGTGTAAGTGGTGTTTATAGATAGTTTCATTTTGGTTATTCACAGAGGAAAAAGACCTTTTAAAATACGTATTTGGCTGGAATTTTACCATTTTATCTTGAATATCTGTTTTCTTTTTATTATATATCAGAGAAGCTACAGTGAATCACACTAGCTTACAACACAATAGCACAACTGAAATCTGGAATGAAATCCCAGGGTGTTTTTTGGACATGAAATTGTGGTGAAATGGAGAGTTGGAGCAGGCTCAAGATGAAAGATGTGGAGAGACAAATGGACACAGACAAGCGGAGAAAAAGATGAAATCCACTGCAGTTTGTACACTTAACAGGCATCAGTTTAAAAAACAAGACTCTAGGCAGCACTGAGTGTTTGTCTGATCTTATAGACACCCTCAAGCAGTGGTTTGGGAGTAGGTGTTTCGTATGTCTAAGTGTTTAATTCGTTTAAAATCCATTCCCTTTGACTCTGTCCACATGGTTCAAATAGTTATTTTATGGTAAAGAGAGAGTCTAGGAGCCAAATCTTGCATGTTCACAGTGGCTGAAAGCAGCGTCATTGGTTATGTATTGCAGTCACAGGTCCTTTGATGACAACCTGGTGTCTGGCTATTGTGAAGAAAGGCCCTCTTTCCTTATCAATTTTGCGTACTTTGAGGGAGAGAAGAGGATATTTCTGACAAGTAGGATGATTTGAGCCCTCTTGCAGTCCTTTATGTAGGATCTCAAAGTTGCTAATCTACCATTACTTGAATAGTTGCAACAGGACAACATACTGTCTTATTCTGGGCTTTTGTGTTGTTCATGGATATTCACTGTTATTAGGATGTCAGAGTGACTCTGGTGAACTGGAATGGTATCTTAGGTATCTTAGATTTCCTGCTTTTGCCTTCTCTGTTTGGCATTATAGGAAGCGGGGTGTAGGAGTGCTCCTTTGAAATAGAAAAAACAAGCTTTGAAAGGCCCCCATGAAGTCACAAGAATGTTGGATGTAATGGAACGTGGGAACAATAGGATGTTGCTGTCAATGTGAATTCTGTCACAATGAAAAAGTGAAATACTACGTATCGTAGTTTAGTAGTGAGCTCAGATCAAGATCATTCTGGTTCTTAAAGCTGTGTGGGATTCCTGTAGTGTTTGTGAAAGTTGAACTACTTTCAGTATTGGTCTCTGTGTTGAAGAGGACAGGTAGAAAGCTGTGCAAGTAAGAGGGGCAGAAAGGGAAAAGGATGGGACAGCCGAAGATTGAGAATGGGGGCAAGGAAGAGGTGCTGGGGGCAAGGAAGAGGTGCATTGTTCTGGAGATTGCCGTTTTTCTAATGTAATTATAGAGAAGTAAGTGGAGCAGGCATCATGACAGCAAGATGTTCCTGATAAAGCTTCTTAAATTGCTGTTAGTTACTGGGCATATAACTTTGAGTGCGTTATTTTAATTACATTCAGTTCCTTTACTTTTGGGATTAGAAACCCGAAGAGGGAGGAGTTACGGTCTTCAGCAAGTGAAGGTTTAACAGAGACAAACAGACAGATATTTAAGGTATATTTGTGTTGAAAGATAACAAGCAGTGGGCTTGCTTCTCCACTGAAACAGCTGTAAGTTCTTCTAACCAGCTCTGCGGCAACTAGTCATTGTGGGCTCAGAACTGTAGGTTGCTTACCTAAAGTTTGGCATACCTTTAAAAAGGCATTATTACATGCGATAACAATTCTTTTCAAAAATATACTGATTTGAGAACCTAATAATCTTCATTGTCCTTTGAAGATTTGAAGGGGAGTGGAGGTACAAATAAAACCCCAAAACTGCACCAAAACAAAAAACAAACAAAACCCAAAAAAAGCTATGGAGGGTAGTGGTGAAGTTTATTGCCAGTAGTATCCTAAAACAGGAGGACATAATACTTTCCTTCAGGGACTAAACTGTTTAAAATAGATTCTGATACTGCGTTTGAAAATGACACTTTGTTTTCAAGACAATCCACCAAACATTCTTTATGGAAAAGGCTTTCATGTTGGTATTTCCTAATGCCAAATATTTGATATCTTGAAGTTTGAGAAATATACTTGTAGAACTTGCTGCAGTGAGTCGAAGCACATTTTTTGTCAAATAAATAATTTAATAGTAAGGTTGTGAAATGTCACGTGAATACATGGGGAAGGGGAATTCAAATACCAGCTGTCAATAGATAGAATTTTAAATCTATGTTAGCAAAATAATAAAATTTGCTTTAGTGATGGAGGTTTAATATATACTGTTCGGCGGGTTTAACTCATCTGTATTTGACGAAAATTACTGTTTTAAGAGACTGAATTACTGAGAGGCTTATATAGTTAGCAGGGAAGCATGAGCCTGCTCCCAAATAGTTTTTAAGAAAAAACAAGTTTAAAACAAAGTCTTCTTTTATACTAATAATTTCAGTAATTTGTATAATCCTTAAGAGCTTAACGTTTTATATGTTTTACCCATGTTTTTGTCCTCATGGCGATACACTGGATTTGGATAAGCTTTTAAAATTATTTTGTAAGCATTTGATTATGAGCATGTTAAAAAGTATACCTCCAAACTGTCTTAAGATCACATCCTTTATTATTTGTCATAAAAGATACTGCTAAGCTAGCAAGAGGCAAGCTGAACAGTTAACATTGCCTTCTTTATAATGCGTATTTCCATATTTCCTAAGAAAGGAATGGTGTTATTTCTGCCTGACTTACAAAGTGTAGTTGTTCTCTCCTAGCAGTGTAACAGTGTATTTATGTACCATTTTGTCATTAGCCACTTCCTAACTGCAGTAGTTTCTGTGTGAATCTTCCCTTGACCCATGGATGATGTTGAGAAAGTAAATTAACTTTTGACTCAATAAGACAGACTGTAGGCAGCTCCAGAATGTGTGTGGGCAAACAATTCTTGCAGCTGCTTATTTTTGGAGTATTAACATGAAAGATTTCATAAACAGGTCCTATTCAGTTTTTTTTAAATCAGATTTCATGTATTTTTGGTAAGATATTTGAAGACCTGTCTTTTCTGAATTTATTCTATATGTGAATACTTCTGATAATGTCATTTGTAATAAGTCTATTGAAGCAATCGTCTACTAAATGTTAGCAATGCTATTTGTCTTGAAGTCCAGATTAAAATTTTGCTGCAGAGGATGGCTGTTTAATTTTTCATCTTTTCTATATCTTTCAGTAGTTTCAAAGGAAAAAAACAAGAAAGCTCTTCATGCAGTAGCTCTGATTGTTCTGTCACGCACTCGAAGAGTATTTGTATGTGCTGTGTAAGTTATAGGAAGGAAAATTCTGCAGCAGTGATGTTTTGTCATATGTCAGTGTTTGTGCCTACCAGAGAGAGAGAGAAATAATCTGAATGTTGTTGTCTGAACTGGAATTCAAGAATAACGTTTACATTTGAAACACCAGTGTTGTCTTAAGGGTTTACTCCACTTTAAAAAAGGGTGAGTAATACCAAGACTAGCAGTCTCCTTTCAGAGAGCTAACAGGTGCTTAGTAGTAAGAGTATTAAAAGAAAGAAAGAAAGAATAGAACTAGTGGAGGAGAGGATCAGTGTCTAGGTAAGAATACAAGGGAACACACAAATAGGATAGCTAATGAGGTTATTTTAATTCTCAAAGGTGAGTTCTCAAAAATGCTTTTAAGATGTGTTTACATTAATAAATAATGGTAAATGGAAAGAAAAGTTATTATTGAAAAACAGGGCACTCAAGTTTCTTTGAAAGTAGACTTAATTTATGTAACTTGGTAGTTTCATTATATTACTCTTGTAACACAAAATAATTTGTCCTTCAACAATTTAAAAAATTGTTGTCCTAAAATTGCAGATGCAGATACACTATGCAAAAGAAAGGACTTCTTTTTTTTAGCTGGTGCCACGTAGTTGTTGCTTGCACTTGTATGTAGAGTAGAAGTTAAAGTTTTGGTGTGATAATTTTTTTAAAAACTTCTGTTGGAAACACTTACATGGGTTGCTTACATTTCAGCCAACTATTTGTTTTCATCTCAAGATAGATGCATATTGTAGAAGGTATTTAACCACACTGGCACCCACAACTAAAAACCTGTGTAGTTAGTATGTTTTTAAAGTAAGATTTAAAATTAGTCATTATAGAGAGACTAGACAGAAATTAAGTCCTTTGCTTTGGTTGCAAAGTAACGAGGCTGAAAAACAAGTGCACCTTGCAATATTATATACACTGGGAAAAAAATCTGTATTTGATAGGAATTAATGTAGCAAAGTGTCAGGGAGCAGCAAGGGGTGTCTGCTCCTGCAGGTAAGGCAAGCTGGGAGCTGAAGGTGACCACAGCAAGGACAGTGCCCTTACTAACGAGCATAAGAGCCAGAGCCAGGCCTGCAGGTGGGTGCACTAATGATGTCACTTAGGCAAGGGCTGAAGACCCGAGGTGAGCTTTTAAATGGAACTCCAGGGCCAAAGACTGGGATCATGGAGGTCTGGTGTGAGGTCCTGTGTGAGGCCGGTCATGGCCATTGACACCTGTTAATGCCCTTAGGATCGTGATACATGGTCTGACAGAGTGTATCTTCAGGCTGCTAATGTTACAGCACTTGAAAACTCAAATTATGTTCTTGCACCTAAGGTGGCATGTAACTCTGGAGTCAAAAATGTATTGAAATGTCATGGGGGTTGTTTCCCTCAAGGGTGTGTGAAAAGGAAGTTGGAAATATGTCAGCAAAAGAGCAATGTGAACAGACTGGTCAAGTGATGTGATTAAGGTGTGTGGCATAATGGAGAGTAGCTAAGGTATGTGATAACTGCGGAATGGCAACGGTTCAAAGGGGAATTGAGGACGAAAGCCTGATGTCAGAAAGGAAGTTGAAGAGTAAGGTGGCTGAGACAAGGCGAAGTTCACAAATCAAGTGTGAAATAAAATCATACACAATAATATTAGCTACATTGTCCTATCCTCATCCAGAACAACTGGAGAGAGCATACAGTTCTGAAAAGTGACCCTCTGTATGTCGCGTTCCATTTGTGAACATTTGACTGTCTCTAAGTGGCTTGTACTACAAACATAAATTAATATATATCTCTTAAAACAGTTTGTCATAGCTGCCCAACAGCTGAGGCCTACTAACCAAACAGCTTATTTGACTTTTGTGAACCATTATAAACAAAGATGTAGTTTTCCAGTAACACTTTAAATGATTCTTTTTTGTGCTGTAGTTTACAGCTCAAATGTTTGAAAGCATTAAATAAGAAAGAAGTTGCCTTTGTATATATGCCATATTTTACAGACTTTGTATTATTAGAATAAGAATTAATTAAGCTTGTAAGTGCAGTCAAATGGAAAGGCTAAATCAGTAGGAAAGGATAGGGATGAAATACAGGAGGACCATGCTATGCCAGAAATCAGTTGGCAAACACAGAGGAATCTTTACTTTTTTTTTTGTTAATTTTACATGATTCAAAGGCTCTTTTTCAAAATGCACAAACTAAGACAGAGGTGGATTGTGGAACATTAGTTTCATTCCTCACAGTTTTGAAATTAAACCCTTTGACTTCTGTTGTTCTTTTTTATAAAGAGCACATTTTTTAGTTTTGTCAAGTTATATGGATGCCTGAATGTGTATTTGTGGGGAGTTTGACATTTAGAAAGCACAAACAGAGCAAATGTGTCACCTGTGTATTTTATCTTTAATCCCTATATAACTTTTCTCTCTTCCTTTTAACTTTATTAGGCTTTCTAACTAGAGAATGTAAAATTCAGTTGATAGTTGATATGGGCTGTGCAACATTTCTAGCATTATTTGTCTTCTGACTGACTTGTCTGTAAGAGGCTTCTGGTTCTTGGGGAGCCTGCTGCTCTCAGGTTGTGAACTGAGGTTAATTCCTAAGATTAGGTCTTCTGGTTTGGAGAGTAGCATGTAATGAAATGGTTTATCAGCAACTGTACAGATGGCAGTAGTTGAGAGCTCCTGTTACCTGAGAGCAGTTGGACAGCTTAGAAATTATGTATTCTATTGCTGTAAAAGTAGTACATCACATTTCCTTTCATAATGAGTTTTATGATTTCTACAAAAAAGCCCCACTTAAATTATTTTGGGTAATTTTATTCTTAACACTTTAAGGCCCTCTCTCAAAAGCATTTCTTGTCTGTTTGCTGTTATCTGTCAGAGGCCACTGGCATACTCGGAGTCAGGTGCATATGAGGGTCTAGGAGCATGACTTTTTCCAGATGTTTAGTTGTAAATAATGACTCAGTTTGTGTCCAAGCACATTGAGAAATGCTTTAATATCAGCCAGAGATTTGCAGAGAACTGTTTCAGGATGTGCAGCTGTCGCCACTGTGCTGACTTGAGCCCAAGCTAGCTCTGTGAGTTTTTGCCTGAACCGTTCCTCAGCTCAAACTGTTTTCATTGTGTGAATGCTTATACTCAAAGGCATGGTGGAGACACCTGTATAACTCTGCAGGAGTAGGTTGAGCCTGCCTTTGTGTACTGTCTGCCTGATGTGGAGCCTTCTGAAGGGCTGGTCTTTGTTGTGTGCTCAGTGGTGTCTGCTCAGTTAACTGGCTACTCAAATGGGCCCTGTCTGAGCTGGGGACAGTGCGGACTTGGTACTAAGCTAACCTTTCTTATTACTTCTTGACTGCAAGAAAGGTGGTTAAATGAGGAAAACCGATGGTGGGCAACTCAAGTCATGTCTTAACAAAGCTGACTTGTGTCCTGGGGGCTTAACTGGAGTTCAGAAGTGGCTACAGTGCTCTGGTCCTGCAGTAGTTCTGGAAGAACTATGTCTGTCTTTGCGTTGTAGCAGTGGGTCAGCTGATACCTTGTTTGAATATAGATAGGTCAGTAGCATTTTCCCAACTGTGGGATAATTGAAGTAGAATCTAAAATAACTAAAATTTGATTGTTTGCTACATAATGAAGGATTTACTAGTTGGAAATTTAACTAATTTCAAAGAAGCATAGAATATCCTGAGTTGGAAAAGACCCACAAGGATCCAGCTCCTGGCCCTGCACTGGACAACCCTAAGAATCCCACTATGTGCCTGAGGGCATTGTCCAAACACTTTTTGAACTCTGTCAGGCTTAGTGCTGTGACCACTTCCCTGGGGAGCCTGTTCCAGTACCCAACCACCCTCTGGGTGGTCTGAACCTCCCCTGACACAGTGTCAGGCCATTCCCTCAGGTCCTATCACTGGTCACCATCAACCCCTCATGAGGAAGTTGTAGACTGCAATGAGGTCTCCCCTCAGTCTTCTCCAAGTGGAACAGCTGCTCCACATACAGCTTCTCCTCCAGACCCTTCATCATCCTTGTTGCCCTCCTTTGGACACTCTCTAGTAGCTTAACGTCTTTTTTATATTGTGGTGCCCCAAACTGCACACAATATTCAAGGTGAGGCCGCACCGGCGCAGAGCAGAGCAGGACAATCCCCTCCCTCAACCGGCTGGCAATGCTATGCCTGATGCCCCCCAGGACACAGTTAGCCCTCGTGGCTGCCAGGGCACTGCTGACTCATATTCAACTTGCCATCGACCAGGATCCCCAGTTTCCTTTCTGCAGTGCTGCTCTTCAGCCTCTTCTTCATCAGTCTGTTTGTACATCCAGCGTTGCCCCTTCTAGGTGCAGAATCCAGCACTTGCCCTTGTTAAACTTCATTTGGTTGGTGATTGCCCATCCCTCTGTTTGTCAGGATCTCTTGGTGCAGCCTCTCTGTCTTTGAGGGAGTCAGCAGCTCCTCCCAGTTTAGTATCATTGTCAAACTTGCTTAGTACCCCTTCCAGTCCTGCATCCAGGTCATTTATGAAGATGTTGAAGAGCACAGAGCCTAAGATGGAGCCCTATGGAACCCCACTAGTGACAGGTCACCAGTCTGATGTCACTCCATTCACTATCACCCTCTGTGCCTGACCCATGAACCAGTTGCTCACCCACCACATGATGTGTTCATCCAGCTGTGTGCTGGACATTTTGTCCAGAAGGATCCTGTGAGAGACAGTATCAAAAGTTTTACTGAAATGCAAAAAGATTACATCAACTGGCTTCTCTTTATCAGCTGGTTAACTAGAGTTACCTGCCATAGAAGGAAATTGAGAAGCAGGACTGTTCCATTGTGAAGACGTGCTGGCTGTGACTGATGGCTGTGTTGTTGTTCAGGTGTTTTTCAGTAACTCTCAGAATAATCTTCTCCATAGTTTTACCAGGCACTAAAGTGAGACAGGCCTGTAGTTTAATGTTTATAAAGGCAGGTGAACTTAACATTTAGCTTTGAAGATGCACACTGTAAGTTCCAAATGAAAAGTCAAATGCTTATTTTCATGCTTATTCAGTACATTTATATAAGCATTGCTTCTTTTCAGAAGGCATGCCTAACAGAAAAGCATAGTCAGTTGTTGCCCTGTTTTCCAAACACACACCTGGGAAATAGGAAAAAAAAAATATTTCATATGAACTTTTTAGCAAGTAGAAGCAGTGTTTATATATTTGTATTTCCATTTTGGTCATTTTTACCACTTAAGACAGAAATGTTAGTAGTTTAGCTTAAATGGTATTGCTTTTATCCATTCAGAAACATAATTTACTGTGTTTATAATTTAACATTTTATAGACAAAGGAAAAAGTATGATTAGCCAATATTGTCAGAGTATGAAAGTATTTATTAATGAGGAACTTACTTTTCCTCCAACCACAAAAGTTACTCATGCAGTTCCAACTACAATATAGAACTACATGGTCTCCACAGGCAGTATTTGGCATTATATTCCAAATTTTGCTTCTGTTGGGATGTAGTAAGACTAGTAAATGAATCTGGGTAAAAATAAAATACTGTGGACTCTAAGTCATTATCACTTGAATTACGATAGTGAATTTAATACCAAGGAGGCATTATCCCACTGTATTTGAATTCATCTCTCACAAGTTCTACTTTACAAGCTGTTTTTATAAAAATGTATTATATTGGGATTGAATACTGTGATCTATCCTGTATTCAACATTGTATAACAGGCAGTCATTGATGCCTGTGTTTTGTGTGCAAGAACTTTATACTGATCTGGTTTTAGTCTGTTTAATCTCAGTGTATGACTAGATTGGAGGCTGTGGAAGTTGAGCAGGTAGTTTCTGTGTTCCTTTTGTTCAGAATTTAATGGTTTTAGGGTGGCTGTACATTGTGGAGCTTACATTATTCTTTATGAATGCAATAGTGTTAAAAAAGGCTGGTTTCATAAGAATTAATGTCTATTCAATGTATTGAATGATTCATCATGGCTTCTGTTTCTGGATATATGTATATTCACACCTCCTGGTCATTTAGTATCAGAATACTTAAAACACCATATAGTCACTTCTCAGTGACTATCTTGATCTTTCATGTGGCACATGGGGTTTTCTTCAAGACTTTGTTTCACCTATATGTTGTGATCTGATTACCTGTTTTGTGATACCTGTTTTTCTTTAACATATCTCCTACAGTTGACCAAAAGGGGGTGCTAATAGATCAAACAGTCAGATTTGTTGCATAAAGAGGTTAAGGAGATGTTTTTGTGCAATGGATCAAGTCCCAGCTACTGAATTATATCAGGTAAATACCAGTTTTCACATCTGGGTGTTGTGTTACATTCCGATCACAGCATTGCTCTCCATGGAAGGGAAATTCATGCCGTGTAAATATGGCAGCTTCTTACCATGTAGGGGTTAAGCATGGGTTACTTAGCAGATATTTAAGATGTTCAAATTTGTTGAATTTTAGAGATTGAATACAGGTACATAGAACTACCAGGTTATATGTTCAACTCAGATGCCTTAATATCCTTTATCCTGATATCACAAAAGACATCTGCTGTCCATTTTTTTATTGTTTGATTTCTCCTGTTCTACAGAACTGGTTAATGGCATCAGCAGAGCTGGAGCCTCTAAGGTAAGCAGGAAAAAGGAGACCTAAGTAGGTTTCCTGCAACGAGGAACTCTGTGTCCTTATCCCACTGTGGGAAAGGTGGTTGAGAGACCTGATACTGGTATGGATAGTTTAGTTCTCTTGCAGACTGGAGAACTTCCAGTGGTTTCTCACAGAACCTCTTCATTTGTGTAGCAGAGATGTAGAACCTGTTTGTGACTTGGCTGGAACAGCAGATGATGGCGGAAAGGGAGTACACACTCCTCGTGGAAGACGTGGTTAGGTGATCACAGCCATTTGTTTTTCCAGGACACATGATACCTACAGAAAGTTTTGAACTCTACAAATACCCATTTTCACTGGTAGTCCTCATTAATTCATTTCATGTTACTGAGCTGATGTAAGACTTTACAAGTATTTAATAAGAAGACTATGTAGTGTAGTCTTCGCCAAATTTCTATTCCTGTCTTCTCTACACAGTATAAAAGACATTTAAATTTATTGTGAGACTCTAAAATAACAAATGGCAACTGTAACTCATTCTAGATGCAACGTTCAGTTCTTTTATGCCACTATAAAGAACATTTTGGAAGAAAAAGTTACTTTAACCTTTTTAAAATTCCTAACTCTAAACCACAGAAATATTAAAGTATATTGTTTTGTAGCACATATAAAAACAGAGTTCATGCTGAACTGATCAGATTGATGGTAAAGACAAAATTTTGTTATACAACATTACTGTTTAAGTGAACTTTAAAAATTAGCATAATTAAATAATAATCTATGGAAAATATTAACTTATAATAGTATAAAATAATGGCACAGGATCATATAGATCAAGTTTAAGGAATTTATATGCCCGATACAGTAGCATGGGGTGGGCAGAAAATACTTTTGTAAGTACAAACTAAATGACAATTTGAATGATGGTCTCAGAAGGCAAAGGAGCTGCTATACTTTGGGAAAGTATATGCAAAATCATAAAGGACACAGGTGACTTCTTTTTGTAAACCCTTATTTTACTTTTGTCTTCTGTAATTTTCAAGGGTTCTTATTTTAAAAGGCTAGCTGTTCTAATAAACCCCGGCTTTTAAAATTAAAAGCTTGTTTGTTCATCACTAATGAGCTTGCTATCAGGAAAACATTTGGGCAGATCAACAACAGAGCTGTGGCCAGCTTAGTTTATTAGATAGTAACTATGAAAGAAGTTTGTTTGATATGTGTTTTGAATAGGGTATTAATGGGCCTAGAAGGTAGCAGTGTTTATTGTTGCTAGCTACATGTAAAACTCTCTTTATGGTTTCTGAATTTTAGAATTATTTTACCCCTCTATTTATGAATATTTGAAGTATTCTGTGTACAGTAATTTTAAATGAGAGTTGGATTAGTCTTTGAAGAGGGTAGAAATGGAAATTCCTGGTCTTAAGGCTTCATCACAAGATATTTCATCAGGGGGAAAAAAAAGGCATAAGCAGTCAAAAAGAGGCAAAATGGGGTAATGCGTACTCATGTTGCTTACAAAGAGAAAGGAAGAAAATAGCTTACCTTTCCAGAGGTCAGTAGCAGAAAAAAAGCAGTAGAACTTCATGAGAATGGAACTGTCAAATTGTGTTTTATACTTCTGCAAGTTTATCCATCACAAAAGGTATCTAAAAGTTGGCCTGAATTTGGGCAGAAGCAAATATTAATGGGAAATTTTGTGAGAATTACTGTATTGTTCAGGACATAATAAAAGGCTTAAATTGAGTTGTACTTTAATGATTTAGATTGCATATTCATTTAATTTGAAGGTAGAATAGGTGTTGTAAAGTTTATACAATTTCTAAGGGGAAACTTGAGCAATGAAATGATACTTGCCATTGTGGGAGTTTGAGATGAGAAGATTGTGTGAAAAAGGTCTGTTTCCTGGTTCTCTCCTCAGTTAAGTGCCTCACATTAGGGACAAACTTGAAATGAAACCTGCTGAAAATTAAACATTCTGGGAATCAAGAAACTCTTTCTAGTGACTTCCAAATAGTAGTATTTCAGTTAACATGGTATTTCAGAGATGCTGGTATTTTCTAAGCTCCAGATTACTTTCCTGTGGGAGATGCAACAAATGGAAGAATCAACAGCCTGTCATCTTTAAAGCAAAACTGGTATTTAATGTATTTTCACATGGGGGTCTCTCTTTCACTGACTTAAGATTCGCTTTCCTAGTCTAGTCCAAAAGCCAATTTTCAATCACTTTTCAATTAAGAAGTCCTGAAAGAAAATACGTGCTGTCCAACTCACTGCAGTCCAGGGATGGACAGAAGGCAACACATGTAAGAAATGTACAAGGTTTCAAATTCTGGCAACAATTGGGCATGTTCCAGAACCACGTAGTCAAGAGAAATGGCTTTGAAAGGTGATGAAGAGGAGTAGAAGATGACTTAGGTTAGTAAGCTGTCCATCTGTTTTTGAAGAAGAGCTGAAACATCATGGGGAGCTGCAAGGTGTGATGCCTTGCAAATTACCCTGGTTGACAGAGACACCTTGTGCAAAAAAATCAGCTACTCCTGTATAAAATGTGGAGGCATCTCAGAAAGAACTTCTGCCAACCTTTAATCTGGTGGGGGGTTTGCCCTGCTCTTCCCTATTAACTATAAAGGTGCTAGTAAAAACAATGTCAAATGACATAATGCTGAGTGGAAATAATTTTGGAAGGGCATGGCATTTATACTTCTCAAAGCTTTTCCAATTTAAAACAAAACAAGCAACCCCCCCCCCAACCATATTCAAACTGATGTGTGCTAAATTTTGTTCCAAATTGAACTTATATTACAAGAAAAAGTATGATTATGATCAACCTTATTACAATCCTTGTGTACCCAAATCTTTACATATTGATCAGACCTCTTCACAGAGCAAGGGTCAGAGAACTTCTTGATTCATAGTCTAGATTACTTTACAGAAGGGATTAATTAAATTGCATAATCCAATGTTGTTCTTTGGACGTATGTTAAGTAGTGTTGTGAACACTGTATCACGTAAAGTTCCAGAATACCTGCAGAATACTACTTTGATACTAAAGCTACTGAAGCAGGAAAGAAACTGATTTTCCTATTGCAATGTTTTTTTGCCTTATTTAAGATTGGACATTTTGTGGCTTCAGCTACTTAGGACTGGAACACAAGTGTAATGCTGTTCAGAATGCTCTTAGGATAACTTCTGTCTTGGTGTGTTATTGAATAAGAACCATATAACAAGCTTTTATCCTAGAACTCTGGTATCTGTCTATTCTGTTTTTATGCTATATTATTTTACATGTACAAATTAAAAAATAGTAGCTCTGTTGAGCCAGAAGCTCTCTGGTACAGAGGTTTTTGAGGTAATGGAGTAGATACCTTTGATATTTATTAAATTGTTTTCCTTCCTTGCACTTGAAAACTTCTGGTTCTTCAAACAAAGTAATCTTCCAAACAGATTTTGTCACTCTAAATTGTAATAGATGTGTCTGTCCATGTCAGAGTTGGTGATTCTATAAACGTTGTGCTTTGGAGAATTTTCAAATTCCATTGAATCCATTTGAATTTCCATTGGCACATGAAAGGTAAGTTAGTAGAGTGTAATCTGCATTAGAAGTAGAGTTGCAATATTACTGAACTTTGTTCAGTTGCTTAGCTTTGTAAGATTCTTCTGTTGTATAGACAACTCACTTCTTGCATTTTGCTTTCTCATTTGTTTAAGATGACCTTAATTAGATATGAAGCACACTATTGTCTACTTGGATTTCTCCAAGGATTTTGATATGGTTTCTCACAGCCTCCTTCCAGAAAAGTGGATGTGTTACAATCTAACAAAGTGGCCCTTGCAGTGGGTGGGGAACTGGTTGACAGGCAGCACCCAGAGGGTGGTGGAACAACGCTCCCTTTCATGCTGGCAACCTGTCACAAGTGGGGTCCCCAGGGATTAATACTGGGCCCAGCACTTTTTGATATCATCATAAGTGATTGGTGAGATCAAGTGTACCCTGATAAAGTCTGCTGATGATACCAAACTGAGTGGGGAAGTAGTCACTTTGTAAAGGAGACTCACCTTGCAGGAAGACCTAGAAGGCTGGAAGAGTGGGCTAACTTACGAAGTTCCACAAGGCCAAGTTGTTGTCCTTGCAGCCTGGGAAATCATAATCCAGGAGTGCAGAATAGTCTGGGTTCTGCGTGGCTGGGGACCAGCTCTGGGGAAAGGGACCTGGTGGTCCAGGAGGAAGGCAAGCTCCGTAGGAGTGATCTTTGCTACTCAGCAAAGAAAGGCAACAGACTGCGGGGTTGCATCAACGAGGGCATCACCACCCAGAGATGAAGAAATTATTATCCCACTCTTTTCAACACTTGTCAGGCCACACCTGGAATACTGTATGGACAGGCTAGAGAGGTCCAGAGAAGGGCCAGAAAGCTGACCAAAGGACCAGGAATCCTGCTGTATAGGGAAATGCTGAGAGAACTGAGTTTGTTCAGTCTTGAGAAGAGAAGGCTTACAGCAGACCTTGTCATCATGTTCCACTATTTAAAAGATCGTTACACAGAAGGTGGAGACTCCCTTTTTACAGGGAGTCATATGGAAAGGAAATTAATGATACAAGTTACTCCTGGGGAGATTTCGGTTAGACACAAGAGGAGAATTTTTTACAATGTAGTTGTAAACTACAGCCATTGGAACAGTCTCCCCAGGGAAGTGGTGGGTTCCCCAGTGTTGGACAGTTCAAAGATTCAGCTGGAGAGGGTGCTGGGCCATCTTGTCTAGACTGTGATTTTGCCAAGAAAGGTTGGAACAGATGGTCTTTGAGGTCCCCTTCCAACCTGGTATTCTATGATTAGCTCAGAGAATTAGGCTGCTTGGCTTGGTTCACCTGCTGTGACATTATTTTGCCAAAAGATGATTGGTACTCCAAGGGCTGAACCCTCATGTTAGTGACATAATGCAAGTTAAGGTCAGCTTTTACTCGTTAATTCAGTGATGTGGAATTGGGTTCTGTGTTTCCATGTGTACCCTACAGATTTAGCAATTATACAAGAAGATTAACCATATTTCTTGGAAATTAATAAGCTGACCCAAAATGATTTAGAAAGTAATAGTTGTGAGTTTTGCCCACTCAAAACCAGAAAATTGTGTTTGCAGTATCAGCTTAGGGTTTGTTTAGTAATTTTTTGTTTGGGTTTGGTTTTGTTTTTTTTTAATTGGTAATGTTCTGCTGTTAAAGGGTAGAATTGGAGCTTTACCATTACAAATAGATTTAGGATTTTTTTTCCTGTGATGCCATCATTTTCAGGATCAGAGTTCCAGAATGCTTGCAGCAGCCGTGTGTTTTTCTGTCTGTTCGTGACAAACCAGCTACTGTACATTCATATAGAGCAGTACAGTCCTTGCCACTGGCAGTCTCTCTGTGACAGAGAGCCTGTAGGCTGACATAAAGTGCAGCCTGTTGTGAACTACTAAGTGGGAGTCTGCCAAAAACTCAGCAGACAGAACTAATTGGGGAGAAAAAGGATTTTTGTGCCCTCATCTCTCCCTCTTCAATTTTTTTTACAAGACGGATATTGTTAAAGTAACTTGTTTATGTAAGATTTGTCTGCCTCTATTTTCTCATTGCATGAATCATTTTTTAACTTCAAGTCTTGCACCGCAGGTCACTGAGCACTTCCACATGGCGGCTGGCGCGGGACCAAACTCAAGACACGCAACTCATCACAGTTGATGAAAAATTGGTAAGAGTTTTCTACTGAATACTGCTATGATACAGCCTTCAGGGTTATTTCTGCACAATATGCATTCAGTATGGTATTCCGCGTTCTTCTAGGAAAACCATATAAATGTGAACTACAAAGCAACAGTCCCTCATACATTTTTAAAAGGGTAACATCAGTAAAACATAAGTATGTGATTGCTTAACACTTTGAATGCCATATTTCAATGTAAAATGATCAGTACGCCACTTATTATTTTTTATATTTTGGTCGAGGACCAGCGTGAGCTGTAATTAATAATTTATTCTTTTTGAAATTTGCATATATTTTCTGTGTAGTGAAATTACACAGAATTTTGCCAGCTTCCTAATATTTTCTTCATTAGGACTCATATTACTGAAGATACTGTGTAAGGAAACATCATGGAAGATTATTGTTACTATGCAATATACACTGTAGCTTTTGAATATGCATGAAGGTTAGATTACAGCTAGAAACAAATGCATAACATTCTTCTGCTAATCAGTAGCAGATCAGAAATTTGGCAGTCTTTTCTTGTAAGTTCTTCCATAATGTGTGGTCTGTTACTCTAGATGCAACCTGACACTTATGTTTACATTATTCAATAGTATAATTTTTGTAAGACTTCTGGGGGGAATGCATCACAGCAGAAGCATGCTTTTCATTGGGTTTCATATCACTTTTGAATCTTCAGGAAAAAAACATTCCTTTGTATGTTCCAGGCAGTTCACATTGTATGTACTTTTTTGTATTCCCTTAACTACTTAAGAAATATTTGGAATTTGTATTTATAAATTGTACATTTGCAGTGATAACTAGAAGTTGAGACAGCTGAAGTTTAACAGGCTACTGGAAAAACCCCCCACACCTACTTTAACAACTCTTTAGTACTTTTTTCTTGTATGTTTTATATATAGATGTAACAATAATAATCTACATACAGGTAAAAAAAGTTATTTCATAAACTTTCTGAATTTAAGAAGTAACAGTATAATTTTAGGTTCAGAAATTAAGGAAAAAATTAGTACTTAATTCTAGCAAACATGATTATCTTGCTAATCTAGTTGCATAACTAGGAATTCAGGAACTTTGTACAGAGTTCATGAGTCACTGTGTAAATAAGATTCAACAGACCGCATTTTCCTAAATGAATTTTAGATGCAGTGTTCTTTAACAGTACAAAAAAATGTATATCTAAACAGAGGTTTTATAGTGCCTGAATTTGCAGTATTGCATTTCCCTATTGTGGCCTCAGGTGATGGATGCATAGATCTGAAAGAGACAACAGCACAGACACACAAGATAAATTCTCTTCTGTCTTCCATTTTGTGTTTAAATGTACATTATCCAAAGTTAGGGTTGTACTATCTACAGCTATGAGAGTTTATGCTTCCAGTTGAGTAAAAGTGAAACTAATTTGAAATACAACTATTCACTTGCCGTAGTGTTATTGTAAAATGAATGTGAGTGAAGTGCTTATTTCTAGTGTAATTGTATGTTGTCATCAAGTTGAAGACTCTCTTATTATAGTTGCTGTGATTTTTTTGCAATCTCATAGTTGCAGCTTTTGAATATTTTTATTTTTATATATATAATTTATAGAAAGTATTACTTTATCTTTAGTTGTATGGAGTACTAGGTTAAATGTCTGACTGAATAGTATTTTCCTACAGTGCTGTGCATGTAGGTCCACATTCTAAATGCACAAACCTTTTTTTTCCAGATTATTGTAGGACCTGAAACAAAATGACAGAAAATAAGCATAATTTGTAGATTTAGTTAAATTTTTGGAGTAGTTTCCATAATGTCATAAAGTAACCAATAATTCATATTCTGTTAACTGGCAAAAATTATGTCCTGTTAACGGGTTTGATGTGGTTTTCAACTCTTTCAAGATTAGGAGAAGTTCTTTAGACATTTGTTAAACTTTATGGAAAAGTAGAATACCTTTTTAACTTATTGTAGGTTGCTGCAGTATTTTTCCTAATTTTAAGTAGGATTAATTAGAACCCATTAAAGCTAATTTAAGAATCTACATAAATTTTCTTTAATTAATGTTGCAAAGCATAACAAAACCATTATTTCCTTGCAAATTGTAATTAAACTGTATTCTGAAAGTTGATACTTAGTGTTTAATTTCAAAAGACCCCTTCTTTCATTTTACTGATTGTTAGAAATCCTTAAATCATATTTTGATGGATTTGTCATCCTGGTCATATATATTTATTTATTTCTTTATTTATTTTAAAGCTGAACATCACCTTATAGGTGCTTTTACATGCACATCAGAAGACAGAGCAAGAACAGGTGGAAAGTAAGGATATGGTTGTGCTTTTTTGCCTTGCTCCTCTTGAAGCTTATTTTGAAACTGAACTCTTCTGTGACTTGAGGTTTACAAGGCTAGTAGAGTAACGCTGTGGTTGTGGAAAACTTTCAACTGCATATTGTAGTGTAATTAATCTATTTCCAATGCTTTTGTAGACCTTGTGTTCATATATGTACATCCATATGCTAGACCTTGTCCAGCAGGAATTCCTTTGAATTACCTAGAGTCTGATTGGATTCTCTTTGTGTTGGCAAAAACAAATAGAAGGCGGATGAGCATCCTGACACTGAATAATTAAGTGGTAGTTGGTCACCTGCTTACTGCAGCCTAGAATGTGTTGAATACAATAGAAAAATGAGTTGTAATGAAATAGTAGAAAAAACAGTAGTTTAGACCACATTCATTTCACACTAGAAAAAAATCAGGACTCTTAAATGGGAAAGGATTTAAGTGCTCAGCTTGCATAGAACACATCCAAGAAATTATATCTTTGTCTCAGTTATCAGCTGTTTTCTGTGAATACTGAATAAAATAACTTTTAATGAACAGTAAAATTTGAAGAAAATAACATACAAAATTAACAAAGCTCAGCGGAAATACAGTTCTTGCATGACATTTTGAATCTCTGGCCACCAATTAGATTGTATTCCAAGAGTTTGGACAAATAGCTATGTGAAAAGTAGACTCTCAAGACCCTGCTTGCGTTAGGAAATTTGGGCTGTAGAGGGCAAAGGCCATCGGCAGCAAATCTCACGTAGTGTTCCAAATTATTTAACTGTTCGTGTGTATGTTATAACATAGCTTCCATCATTATTATAAAAAGTTGAAGTGGTTTTGCCTGAAATGGAGGCTTGAACTGTCCTAATTCCTGCAGTTTGTTCCAGTTATTGAGAGTAGGGTGCATCAATACTGTTTGTTGTAGCTAAGTGTCTTCCAGTTGAGCGTGAATGCTTTTGCAGACTTCCCAGACAGTGCTGGTAATGCTGCATTTTGAGTGTCTAGCTGGAGTTGGGCACTTTGGTGAGGGTTGCACCCTGCAGTTGAAAGGTATCAATAAAAGGACCTTTATGTTGGTTAAATGGTAACAGTATTTAAGATCCAAATTTCAAAATTAGAACTACTGCCAGAAATTATCCTTTGCATTGCTAAAGCAGAATATTCCACTGACAATATATATGCTGTAGCTCAAAGCAAAAATTATTGCAAGAGCAGTTATAGGAATCGGTCACTGGGGAGACACTAGAAGAGTTGTGGAACTGTGGTTAAGGATCAGTTGTAGTCATCTCACAGATGTTTTTATTCTGTACCAGACCAAGATAAAATAGGAGTTGCTACACAGAGTTAAGCATTCCAGACCAGTGCTATCAAGTGCAGTTGAAATGGTACTGAATTAGTTTTTGCAGCATTGTGCAAACATCTAGGGACAGACTTTATTATGAGTATGACAGGCTAAGTAGAATGATGGCATTTTGTCACCCGTCGTTTTGTTTGGTCTATAGTGTTAGCTAACCTTTTTTCAGTAGTGGTTCAGCAGTCTCAGTACTGAACCTCAGCAGAGGGCCATTTTCCTTTAGATCGTAGAGAAACTCTACGTAACTCACTGAAAGTGACTTATATACGCCAAACTGGGCACAGAAAATCTGAATCTTTATTTGAGGATGAGCAGTTCATACTTTTCGAAAGACATTAGAGATGAGCAGTAAATACCATATACTGCAGCAGCCTAGGCCAAAGCATGTAAGTAAATGCACATAGCAGATGAAGGAAAGGCCTACCTGGGCTTTAGTAAATGCTTTCCCGCAGCTTTCTCCTGGAAAAACTGCCTGCTCATGGCCTGGATGGGTGTACTTTTCACTCCTTGAAAGACTGTATGACTGGAAGGCCAAGCCCAAAGAGTAGTGTGAATGTAGTTAAATCCAGCTGACAGCTGGTGTTCCCCAGGGCTCAGTATCAGAGCCAGCCCTGTTTAATATCGTGATTGATGATCTGGGCAAGGGGATTGAGTGCACCCTCAGTCAGTTCACAAACGCTTCCAGTTTGAGCAGGAGGATCTGCTGGAGGACAGGAAGGTTCTGCAGAGAGGACGGGTTGGATCAGTGGGCTGGGGCCAGTGGTATGAGGTTCAATAAGACCCAGTTCTGGGTCCTGCCCTTGGATCACAACAACCTGGAGCAGTGCTGCAGGCTTGGGGCAGAGTGGCTGGAAAGCTGCCTGGTGGAAAAGGACTTGGGGGTTCTGGTTGACAGAAGCTGAACATGATCCAGCATGTGCCCAGGTGGCCAAGAAGGCCAGTGGCATCCTGGCTGGAACAGCTGTAGTGGGGGCAGCAGGACCAGGGCAGCCTGTACTGGCACAGGTGAGGCCAAACCTCAAATCCTGTGTCCAGTTCTGGGTGCCTCACTAGAAGAAAGAAAATGAGGAGCTGGAAGGTGTCCAGAGAAGGGTAACAGGGCTGGTGAAGAGTCTGGAGCGCAACTGTTACAAGGAGTGACTGAGGGAACTCAATCTGTTTAGCCTGGAGAAAAGGAGGTTCAGAACAGACTTTATCATTCCCTTCCAGTACTTGAAAGGAGGTTGTATCCAGGTGGG